GAATTATATTATGAATACTTATAATAATATTTGCAATGGTCTTATTAACATTTTCTCATACCTTTCAATTTAAAATGTTTATTAAAATTAAATAGATAATTTATATTACTATATGTTATTTAGCCTCTTTATAAGCAGTTTCCATTATTGTCTTATCCCTTATTATAAAATTTATTTTAAAAACAATATTATAAGAAATAAAAAAGTGTACTGAATATAGCAAATTCTAAGCAGATAACCAAAAACATTGCTAATTTAACATACATACATCCAAACTTTAATAAGCACATTCTATTGCTGTGGATGTTTAATCTAAACCACATTGTTAATTTGAAAGTTTAGCAATAAGTTTTTTATCAAAACCAACAGGTTAGCATTTATTATTTGCAATACAATATCTATATGTTAAAAAAATAATTTTTATGATTTCTTAAATTCTAAACTTACCCTTAAACACAAAATTCAATTTATGAGGACTATGATGTTTCTTACAGGCATAATTAGTTTACTGAATCTCTTCCAACATATGGAGGTAACAATTATTAAATTCTAAATTAATTATCTTAGCAATATCCTTTGTTCAAATTAACAATAACTATTTTTTAATTTTAAAGTGTTGAACTATTTAAACCTACCGTAAATTATAAATTTACTTTAAAGAGCCTAATTGGAAGTTTGTTAACCTAATTAAGCACAAATTCCAGTACTTTGAATACACCCTAAATACTATGAAGATTTAGCATACAAGATACATTATTTCTTGTCACTTGTTAAGCAAATAGTTTAGGTATCATTAAAACATTTATCAATAGTACCACTTTAAGGAGTTTAATCTTAATAAAAGCATTTATAATTAGTATCTCTACCAATAAATATAGATGACATTGATTAACAATTACCTCCTTAAGAACATCCATTACCAACTAATCCATAATCCACAGTTTATTAACATACTAATTTAATACCATCAAAACAAACAATTGGCAATTAAGCACATCTAAATTTTCAATAGAAAATAATTATTAAAACATTTAGTTTTAAAAAATTAAATATGCCAAAAAATCAAAGTTTTGTTTTTAAAAAAGTAAAAAATATTTAAATTTTTAAATTC